AGAGAGAAAAAAAAAAAAAAAAAAAAAAAAAAAAAAAAAAAAAAAAAAAAAAAAAAAAGTTAATCTACATTTTTCATTTTTAAAAATCAAAAGTAATTACAGCAGCAGTATAGTGAAAAGAGGTTTTAAAAATAATAATTACATCTTTGATACAAATTCAAACTTTGTACACCTCAATTCAAAGGAATGACTGTTTTTCAGGGTTTAGTACGTATATATATATACAGTAGATACCGTTACGCGTCACCGCAGACGGACGAAAGCCAGTGGCTTCGCAGGGCGGGGGTTAGCCTGACACTGTCGTCACACTGACGTGTTCACAGATTGCCACGCGCTGAAGGACACACACACACGGACGCACGTAAAGGGCCAACCTGAGTAAAACGTTTCTAAGAACCTAGAGCCTCATGAACCACAAGTCACATATTGCACCTTTAAATAATCCTTCTTACCGAATACAGAGATGAGAAAAAGAGAAATACGGGGTCAAAAGGGGGGAGCCCATCGCCATAGGGTTCCTTAGCTTCCTTCCCTACCTGCCCCCCCAAATTCTCAAGGTGGTATTTCGTTTCCACCCTCCCTCGGCCAGCGGGCTGGCGACGTGACCGACATACACGTCTCGGGGGAAACTGGGCGGGAAAAGGGAAGAAAGGACAGAACACAGAATGGGGGGCGGGGTGGGGGGCCTCCTCTAATCAAATAAGAACAGGAATGTTACCGAGAAGGCCGAACCGCCGATACTAAACTACCGTTTAAATACTCCGCACATTCCAATCATGAGAGTCAATACAAAAATATAGAAATCTACTGAGTTTTGCCTGTGGAAGCATAATTCAGAAAAGGCACATGGTCAAATAGAAAACCCAGGCAGCAGGGGCGCCCGTGCCCCGCCCTGCGTGATAGTCGTCCACAGCTACGCATCTCCCCTCAGCTAGATTCCAAGATACAGTAGGTAAAAATAGACCTCTGATACTTAAAATAGATTCAACCCAACACGATCCTGCCTTTCGCATGTGGGTCGTATAAAATAGTCTTTTTTTTTAAAAAAAATCTGTTTTGAAAAAGAAAGAAAAAAAAGCTCATAGCTCACTTTTCCTGGTTTTCCACCATAATTTTCAAGGGGAAAAAAAAAGTGAACTCATCCCACGGGTGACCGGGAATGCAGGTGATCTGCTCACCACCGGCCCACAGCCCCCGACACCCCAGCTTCTCATCTGCCATGTGTTACGTGTGCAGCTCCACACCCTCCATCCGTTCTAACCAAACAGAACAAAGCATTAAGCTATTAGACATAAACCCATGTCGACCCCGGGGCCTTTGCCTCTGCTGTGGGTGTGGTGGCCTAGTGAACTCCAGAGAGAGTTTCCTTTGGGATTAGGTGATGTAGCCATTGGTTTGTCCAAACGTGGTCACTGGGGCGAGGTTTTCGTAGATTGTCATTGCAGTTGTGTTCTGGTAGATGAGATCCACCTTCGAGTCCTTCTGGGATCTGATAATATCCAAAACACACTGATTGAGGAAAACATACTGGTCCTGTTAGGAGAGGAAAACGAAGACAGCAGGTGAGCACAGGTCCCGGAGGTTCGCACCCACACTTATTTTCAGATTCCCGCCCCCCAACCCCACCC